CATGATGTCTAAAAGCCTCAGATTTTGTAGAGTTTGGGGTTCTAAGTAATTTTCATTTGCCATCGCTAGCAAAGAGATGATGTCATTAAATTAGGAAACTTGTGATAATAAATATTTCATAGAATTAACTTTTTCAAGTTATTATTGACTTCTTTGTGAGGTTATGTGGTATGTGTGTGTGTGTGTGGTGGGTTGGTGTTGGCAGAAGTTTAGAAAATTGCTAAGATCACATGTGCCCTGCTGTCATGGAACTTGCATTTGTGTGGGTTTATGTTTATATTGCATATGTGTATTGAAGCAAATAGTTATTAGAATTCCTTGACTGTAAGAAACAGGAAATGATCATGGTTAAATAAGGAACAAAAATACTTAATAGGAAGGATACGGTATAGTTCTCAAAATGGAGAAAAGAACCAGGACAGAAAATGAGGAATTTAGGAAACTGTATCTAATGGGACAATCTCTCTTCAAATCACTTCTGTCAAATTGAGTGAGCACCAAATACGTTTTGTCTCTGCTCATAATTGAAATTCTAGAGCAGAGAATCTGGCTGGACTGCTTTGGGTCATGTGTTCACACTTTGGCCAGGAAAGGTGGGATTGTAAATTGATAATACCATGAAATTGTGTACATTTAGGGAGGGGTGTTTCCTCAAAGCAAAATCAAGGTGGTGATAACCAAAGGGGAACTGGTTTTGGAAAGGTAAACACGGTATATATGAACCAGAAAGGAACAAGATAAATGCATAAAGAGCGATAACAGAAGGAGGAATATATAAGCACTATGAAGGAAGCTTTTTAAAATTCTGAGGAAAGACGTGCATGTGCACATGTGTGTGTACACACACACACACACACACATACACACACAGTGATTCATCTTGAAAACTTGCACAAAGGAAATGACATTGTTTTCCTTCTAAGAAGACATATTTTATTTATTTTTTCAAGTTGGTAAGCACTTCAGCATTTTATTAGTTAAGATAATCTTGGGGTTAGGACTCATTTTTTAATTTATTTTTCTCTTTTCCCATATTTTTATGGCTATATTAAAATTCTACCTAATAATGGGATTTGTATGACATGGTTATACATGTATGCAATGTAACAATTTGATTTGGTCAGTGTCATTTTTCAGTACTTCCCCTTTCACTCCTTTCAAAACTCCCTATGGACCATTCCTGTACTCTACAGGTCTCCCTTCTATTTTCATGACATTTGCCCTGTTATGAGTTAGATATGAGGTGTGCCCCCAAAGCTCCTATATTCATGCAGGAATATTCAGAAGTAAAAGAATTGGATTGCAGGAGTAGTAACTTGACCAGTTCACCCAAGTTTGAATGGACAGGGTGGCAACTGTAGGCAGGTGGGACCTGGCTGGAGAAGGTGGGTCAGTAGGGATGTGCCCTAGAAATATAGTTTTATCTTCCCTGTGACCCTTTTCCCCTTTCCTATCTCTCATTCCTAGCTGCCATGAATGTAGCAGTGGTCTCCATGAAATTCTCCTGCCATAATGTTCTGCCTCACTTTGGGCCCAGAGCAATGGACTCAGCTGAACATGGATTAAATCTATGGAACTGTGAACAAAAGTAAACTTTCCCGCTTTTAAGGTCTTTTTGACAGAAAAATGCAAAATTTGTTAACATGAAAATTGGTACTAAGAAGCAGTGGCTAACCTGACTATATGATCCAGAATCCTTTGGAGCTTGTTTGGGGGAGAATTTTCAAAAATCTGGAGCTGCAAGCTAGAAAAGTTTTAGAATGCTGTAAATGGAGCTTACTGGGAAATTCGGGTGGGAGCTCTGAATGCAGAGATAAAAAACTGCTCATGAGGTTTCAGAGGGAAATAAGGATTCCCTTGGACATTTGACTAGAGTCCATTCATGTTACATTGTGTCAAAGAAGTTGTCACATCCTGCCCATGTTCTGAGACTTCAGGTGAGACTCTATATAAAGACAATAGACATCTTCTTGAGGAAATTTCAAGGCAGCAAAGAATTCAATCAGTGGTGTGGATATTGTCCCCAGCTTTTAGCCAGGTTTACTGTGAAAATTTGGGGCCAGAAATCATATCTGAAGAATTTTAGAAACTTCAGTTTGACTAGACAAGTGCATATAAATCTGTGCTCAAGAAAAATGTGATTTTAAAGGAGATTATGACCACTACAGAGATGTTAAGCACTTTGTACAGACACAATAGGAAAGATGGCTGAGGGCATCTCAGGAATTTGCAAGACAGCACACATTGCCTACTGGATAATGTGGAGGAAAAAAACCCTTTGAGAAAAGATCTTGGTGGCACCCTGCTTCCACCAGGGGGCCTAGGAAATTGTTTCACACGGCTCAGCCATGCAGGGCCTAAGATACTGCTGTCATGATTACAGGGGCCCCTGGTACTTCCCCAACTGGTAGCAGACATTAACATCATCTACAGGGTGTCTCTTCTGCTGAAATACAGAATGCTCAAGGTCAGGGCCATGGAAGCTTCCACCAAGATTTCAATGGAATGACTGGGAGGCCAGGCAAAGTGTAGCAGGATCAAAATCCCTATTGGTTGACCATGAAGGGGTGATGCATGAAGTTGTGATCATAACAACAAAGCTGAAATGAAGATCCCAGGAATTAAGAGATGCCTGTAATATGAACTTACCACTGAAAAGATCTTCTGACTGTGCAGAGACTCAGACTATTGAGAACATGTGTGCACTGCAACTAGGAAGACTAAAGAGGCAGGGCTGTCCAAATCTTTTGGAAATCACATCTTACCACCAAGTTTCCCAGATGCCAGAGGTGGAGATATAAGGCTTATTTGTTTGGTTGAGTTTTGGTCGTGTTTTCGTTGTCCCATCACTTTTGTCTCTGTCTGTATTTGTCCATTTTGGAATGGAAGATTTACTCTTTGCTTCTGTACATTGGATATATTTAACCTTTTTACTATTTATTTATTTATCTTTTTAAGGTTATGTAATTTTTAAATTTGTTCTAATTAGTTATACATGACAGTAGAATGTATTTTGGACACATCATATATAAATGGAGTGTAACTTCCTCATGGTTCATGTTGTAGAATCACACTGATTGTATAATCATATATGCACATTCCTACGCCCATACCCTCACCCCTCTTTACTCCCGTCTGCCTAATCAAAAGTACCTAGTCCCCACTTATCGTGAACTAACAATAAATTTGTTTTTGATCTTTACAATGACTCACAGTCAAGAGTTTTCCTTGAGTCTCAGAGAAGACTTTGGACATGGACTTTTGGAACAATGGTAAATTGTTAAGACTATGAGACTCTTGGAGAGTGAATAAACTCATTTTTGTGTGTGTGTTTTGAGAGAGATGTGAGCTTTTGGGGACCAGGGATACAATGTTATGATTTGGACATGAGTTGTCCCTCAAAAGCTCCTGTGCTAATGCAAGAATATTCAAGATAAAATGATTGTATTATGAGAGCTGTAACCTAATTGGTTCATCCTAGTCTGAATGGACTGACTTGGTCGTAACTATAGGCAGGTGTATCATGGTTGGTGGATCACTAGGGCATGCCCTGAAAGGGTTCGTTTTTCCTGTGACCCTTTCAGCTTTTCCTCTCTTTGCCTTCTGAATGCAATGAAGGTAGCTGTGGTCTTCCACCACACCTTTTCTCCATGATATCTACCTCATTTGGGGCCCAAAGCAATTTAGACGTGGAATAAACCTATAAAACTTGAGCCAAAATAACTTTCTCTCCTCTACGTTGTTCTTTTCAGTTATTTTGGTCACAATTAGAAAACATTGACTAACAATTCCCTCACTACTTTTTCCCCTTTTTTGCATTTTTTCTAACTTTCATATATAAGAGAAAACATAAAACTTGACATTCTGATTTAGGATAAATTTACTTAATATATGATCTCAAGTTTCATCCATTTATCTGCAACTTGCATGATTTCATTCAGAGAATGTATCTTCTAAGATAGCATATAGATTGTCAGAAAGGATCAAGACAAAGGAATAAAGTTAAGGGGATGGGAAGGTGGAGATCTATTTGGTTAATGGAGACCATTCTTGTTTGATTTCAATGTAGAGCAGCACTTTCCCAAGTATGCTTTTGAAATACTGGTGATAATTGAAACCCTATCAGGAGTCCCACAAGGTCAAAGTAATGTTCATAATAATAAGTTGGCATTTTTCTTTTCACAGTCATTCTCTCAGGAATGTGCCCTGGGTTCTTCAGAGCTATATTATATGTGATGATGCCATTATTTTGATGATCAATGAAATGATGGAATAAGTAGTATGTGTTCCTGTGTTTTTAAAAAAAAAAGGTCTCATGGAATTTCTAACGGAAAATATATTGATGAACAAAATTTATTTGGACTCCTAAATAATATAATGTCCATAATACTGTGGTAACTTTTCTAATCCTGTTTCAAGGAGCATATGAGTAATCTGATAGCCAATAGGTAACTTTCAAAGTGTTTTGTGTAGCAAAATGGCATATTTGGAGCTTCCTTTAAAGGATAGTATGCTGGAAGACCACCAAATGGGCTGGAGAAACCATTGTGGAGAATGGGAGGGAAATTACAAGGCTGCTATAGGAGCCCAGGCGAGGGATACATGCTACTGAAGCAGGAATGATAATGGGAAAGAGAAAAACAGCAGGCAAAACATTATGGACAGGTGGCCATTACTGGATGTGATGAACATGGGGCTTGCTAGAGAGTGAGATGTTAAGAATGCACAACTTTGATTCTCGCTCCTTATGATGGTCTATTTTTTATATCAACTTGACTGGGTCATGGCATCCCCAAATATTTGGTCAAACATTATTTTATATATTTCCATTAGGACATTTTTGGATGTGATTAACATTTAGACTGAGTAAAATGGTTTGTATTGGACCTTATCTAATTAGTTAATGGCCTAAATACAACAAAAGGCTAAACCTTATCTGATTAGAAGAGTATTCTTCTATTTCACTCCCCTCCCACCACCATTTTTTTTTCTTTTTACAGAGCTGGGCATCAACAGTAGATCTTGTGCATGCTAAGCAAGTTCTCTGCCACTGAACTGCACTACAGCACTCCCTGATGGCCTTGGAAATGGGACTCTTGCAGGCAGTCTTGTGGTCTTTGGACATACTGAGTTGTTAGCTCTGTATATTTTGGACTTGCGGCTTTCATGATTGTGTGAGTTGCTTGGTTATAATATATATTACATTCACATATGTATGTTTGTACCACGAGTTCTATTTCTCTAGAGAGTAGTTCTTGAAGAACAAATCTTGAGTGAATTTTCTGAATTGCTTCTATGTTTTTGAAAACTGACTCTCTAATATATTGACTTAAAAACATTAATGATTCTCTTTTCAGTAGTAAAGAGAGCATGATAATCCATGACATGATCTGAATAAAGAGGTATAAAAAAATCCCCTTTCTAAATTCCTAATCAAGCACAAAAAGCAAGAATCTGGGTGATTACATATATGGTACTTGCAAATATTCTGTTCTAAATTAATGCATATAAAAACATTGCTTCTAATGTTGCTGAACAAAGTGGGGAGAGAAAAAGTTGGGCCCAGGGCTGAGGGCCACACAAATCTATCTGAAAGCTTTTCTGTCCTGAGAGAGATTTTTATCTCCCATAGCTGCAGAGTTTATTTTCATTAAAAATCTCACACACACACACACACACACACACACACACACACACACACACGATGGATGGATGGAAGGAAGGAAGGAAGGAAGGAGGGAAAGAGCAGGGAAGGAGGGAGGAAGAGAGAGAAAGAAAGAAAGAGTTGATATCTCTGCTCCTTCCTGGTTGCCGCTGTTGATTTATTTGCCAACATTCAACTCAGCCCCAATAACAGTTGACATTGCCTTGAACAGCTGCCTTTGCCCAGTGGAAACTCCCTTGTCTGGAGGTTGCAACTTAGAAATTCTGGAAGGCAGTGGAGAGACAGCCCTATGTACCCACACTTTCTTTTTTTTTTTTTAAATCATCCTAGGCTTGCTGAAAAGAACACACACGTGCAGGCACACACACACACACACACACACACACGTGTCCAGGTAATCTTTGGAAAGCAATGATAACCACACATGAAACTGAAATGAAATCTTACAAACACTAACTCATCTCAGAGTCATTCCTTAGAGGATTAAGGAACTGGTTGACCTTGGCTGTGGATGTCTAAGCTGAGACCCAGGTTAGAAATCTCAGGACTGCAGTCCCCCCAGGGAGGCTGGTCATGGTGGGGTTGAGATATTTGGGAGGTGACTGGGAAAAGCCAGGTACAGGGGTCAGGGTGATGAAAGTGGATTTGATTTGTCCTCTGGTGACATTTAGGAGGACAGGTGAGAAAGGCAGCTGCTGACACACAGTCTCCACTGCACCCCTGCCAGGTACACAAGGCCTTCTAAGACCACCTGGGTGAAAAAGATGGGCCCACAGAACACTGCCCTGTGAGCAGTCCCAGACGCTCTTGATGAGTGTCCCCAAGCACAGGTTGAACCCCCTGCCCACTACTCCATTTAAGTAAGCACTTCTTCTGTAACTTTAAATCAAAGGTGGCTCCTATTCAGCATGAGCACCTTTCCTGGCAGCTTGTGCAGTACAGTGAGTGAGCAGCTGCTCACCAGGAGCAGTTTGGACAGGGCATTGCTCATGCATCAGCCCAAGGCAGCAGCGGCCAGGGCACGTGGCTTTGGAGTTATACAGGTTCAGCCACGAGCACCTGCATGTTGCAGGGAGCATCACTCCACATGAGCACATCACTTCCCTCATGGGCATGAGCAGCCTGGGAACACCACCATCCAGAACAAACTGCCAGAAAACCGGCTTCTCATGCCTCAAGTGCACAGGTGTGCCGCTGTGTGTGTCCAAAAGAGCAAACTGCGTCTGACCGGTTAGTCTGTGAACAATCCCAGGTCCAGTGAGAACAAGCAGGCGACCCCCAACCTTCTCACCAGCTTCCCCCCACCCAGGGGACTCTGACACCGTCATTCTCTCCCGCATCCTTCACTCCTGACACTTGAAAAATTTTTTTCAAATCCTGAGCATCTTTATCATTTTAGGATTGTCAATTTCCATTTTGCCTAATTAATAAATATATCAAAACCTGAAAGGAAATGAAAGTTGTAAAGAACTTTTGGCCCTAAGGGGGAAAAAAAACAATGGTGAGCTAAACTTGGAAGGTGGTTCTTTCAATCCTGTTGACTTATTTAGGGAATTATATTTTCCACTCCCCATAAGCCTCTTTATTAATCTTATGCACAAAAATACAAACAAAATGGGAGTTCATAATCCACTTGAATCAAATATATGAAATATGATATGTCAAGAGCTTTGTTATGTTTTGAACAACTAATAATAAAAAAATTAAAAAATAAACTAAAAAAATACAAACAAAGATCTCAAAAGAATGCATCTCCTTCTCAAGGACATCACACACTGCTGATCTAGGAGTCTTTAGACTGGTTTTGACTCTCACCATCATAAACACCCCATTAATATTTAATGAGCACTTACTATGCACCAGGCACACATGCAGCACACCATAGACATAAACTGTATAAACCACATGGTGACCTCATAACGGGGGGGGGGGGGGGGCAAGGTTTGAGTTAGGAAACTAGTGTTGAGAAGTTTAAATAGCTATTCTGAAATGAGACATAAAGAAAATAACAACCTGGATTTGAACCCCAGTCTGACTGACTTCAAGGCCTGGAGGCTAACCCTACAGAGCAAGCAGTACAAAGCCCCGTATCCATCCCCTTGTGCTGCAAATGCCAGCTTGATTTTGCTTTGGCCGTCAACGCGGCTGCCTCCTGAGGTCCTGGACATATTCTTGGCAGAGGTTGGTGGCTCAGAGGCCAGTCACTAATTATGGGGGTTGTGCAGAAACATGTGGGTTCATGAAACCTCCAGATCATGTGCCAGGGTTCATGGAAGGAGGCCACTAAGCCACACGAACAATGCTGCTAGGTGGACACTGCAACCAGCATGTGTAGAGATTCTGAAGGAAAGAGTCAAGGAGAGAGCCCTGGTGCCAGCCCATCCCACGGCTCTCTTCCCAGCTGCTGCAGCCAGGGCTCCACTGAGTCCCCAGGAGATGCATGGTGTATCGTCTGCCACCACAGGGCTCACCCAGGCTTCCAAAGGTGCTGGGGTTGTGTACTAAGTGTGGCTTTGGAGTCAAACACACCTGGCCTCAAATGTCGGCCTCATCTGTGTTTACTGTATGAGCACGTTTCTTAGGAGACCGAAGCCTGTTTCTTTCTTGTCTGGAATATCAGGTCATTGTGTGTCCACCTCCCTATTGAGAGGAAGACCAAATGAGGTCAGGTGCACCAAGGCATTTGGGCCAATGCCCGGCACAGAGTGGGTTTTCTGGAAATGTCAGCACATCTGATGAGGACAGTTTCTGAGAGCAAAGGAGAGGGAAGGAAGGCACAGAGCAACACAGAGGCCCCATTAGTACCCTCAGTGAGGAGTAGAAAAGGCCAACTGTAAATGTGGAGAGCTTCACAGCACATTACTGCTCACCACTGTTGACACAGGAAATCAACACTTAGATCAGGAAACAAACATACAATGAGCCCGAGTTCCTGGACAGCCGTGGATCATCTTCACTCACTCATTGATTCTTTCACCCTTCATTTGAGCCAGGCATCATCCAGCCTGCCATCTACCCATCCTTTCATCCAGCCAGCCTGCCACATAGTCATCCATCCACCCACCCACCTACCCACCCATCCTTCCATCCTGCCCTCCATACTGCCATGCATCCTTCCATCCATCCATCCATCTACACATCCTGCCATATACCCATTCGTCCACTCACCTTCCCTGGGAGGCTGGTCCTACAACAGGTCCTACACATACCCAGGTTCATTGCACCTGAGGGATGCAGGCAAATATTCCACTAATGTCCCCACCAGATTGCATTGCTCTTCTGCTGGAACCACTCTGTGGAATCCCACCACACTTAGAATGGAATCTAGAAGGCTGTCCTCGCTCTGCCCCTGTCTCATCCTTAACACTCTCTTCCGTCTGCACCCATCCAGTTCCAGTGGTCTCAGACAAGCGAGTCCAGTCTGCACTCAGGTCCTGGTATCTACTGCTCTCTCTGCCCTAGATTTTCCTACCAGCTTGGTGGATTGCTAGACTCTCACTTTTTCAGTCCTGACAGAATCACCACTGGAGGAATTCCACTCTTGACTACTCTATTTAAAGGAAAATCTTCCCAGCTCTCTCTCTCTCTCTAAAGCCCAATAATTCTGGTTTACTTTTGTGAAATGCAATTAGCACTTTTCAATAAATATATTTAATCATTGTGGAACTTTTTTGTGCATTAGATTTTTTTAGACTCACAAGAATATCAGCTGTGCCAGGGAGGGGATATTGTTTCTTCTCCCCTCCCCCAATGCTATATCCTCAGCATTGAGAATGATGCCTGGTTCATAGTAGGTGTGCCATCACTGTTTGCTGAATGAAGGAATGAATGCATGAATACATGTTTACATACATGAAAAAACCTTAAAGAAATAAACTTTGTGCATTCATGACAGTAGTTGTCCTGAAAGGTCCATATCCCTCACCCCCTGCACAGGTGTAGACATCACAATAGATGCCAAAAAGGGTCCTTCTTGGTCAATTGCCATGGCCAGTCTAGATAAAAATCACAACAGATGAGCAACTTGGACCTTGGAAAGAGGGAGAGCTGAGTTTCAAACCCAGCTTGATTAAAATGAGTTGTCTTACATGTTATCCACACCCCTGTCAGCAAAACAGGGATTATATCTGCATGTGTGCATAGGAAGGTATAAGGAACAAGACCCAGTGAGGTCTCCCCACCAATGAGAGGTCTCCCCTGACTGCCCACACTTATGTTGTCCCAATTCCTGCTCTCATAATTTTGTTTATATGAAATGATTGTTATCATGATGTATTTTTCTATATGAAAATCATCTTTTTCTTTATACCATTACATGGATATTCTCCTGCTTCCCTCAACTGTAGGGCAAGTCTGCCAGGATCAGAGCCATACTGTCCACTCCCAGACCCAGCTATTAGAATAGGACCTGGCACAGAGTAGGAACTCAAGAAGTAATAGCTATTTAAATGAGTGAAGTCAATGTTAAAGCATTTGGTACAGTACTGATATATCACGAGCACTGTGGTCCCAGCAGGCGTCATTATTTCTATTTTTTAGACTGTTGGGAGCACTGTAATTCCTGTTCCTGAAGAACGTTTTCCTGAGCTGCTGCAGGGCTCCAGACAGCCCAGCATAAGCCCATCTCAGTCCAGAGGCTTCCAAATCTCTCAGCCATTGTATTGCTAATTTTAAAACCCCCAGTGCACCCATGCCTGATTTCCTTCAGTTCCCTGGACTCCTGGGTCTATGATAATTGGTGTGTAGCTCATTTCCCATCTCATATGAAATTTCCAAGGTCTGGCTATTTAGAGTAAAAATGCACTTCCTTTCTCCATTGCATGTTTTTAGCACCTTTGTCTAATATAAGGTAGTTGTAATTTTGTGGATTTGTCTCTGTGTCCTCTATTTTGTACCATTGGTTTACCAGCCTGTTTTGGTGCCAGTACCATGCTGTTTTGTTACTATTGCTCTGTAGTATAGTTTAAAATCTGGAATTGTGATATCACCAGTTTCACTCGTCCTGCTTAGAATTACTTTAACTATTCCAGGTCTCTTATTTTTCCAGATGAATTTTATGATAGATTTTTCTATTTCTGCAAGGAATGCCATTGGGATTTTGATGGGAATTGCATTGAATCTGTAAAGTGCTTTTGGTAATATGGCCATTTTAATAATATTAATTCTACCTATCCGTGAGCAAGGTAAATCCTTCCATCTTCTAAGGTCTTCTATTTCTCTCTTTAGGGTTCTGTAGTTTTCATTGTATAGATCTTTCACCTCTTTTGTTAGGTTGATTCCCAGGTATTTTATATTTTTTTGAGGATATTATGAATGGGGCAGTTGTCCTCATTTCCATTTCAGATAATTTCTCACAGATATACAGGAATGCCTTTGATTTATGGGTATTGATTTTATGTCCTGCCACTTTGCTGAATTCATTTACTAGTTCTAGAAGTTTCTTGGTTGAACTTTTTGGGTCTGCTAGGTATAGGATCATTTCATTGGCAAATAGTGCTAACTTAAGTTCTTCTTTCCCTGTATTTATGCCTTTAATTTCTTTCATCTGTCTAATTGCTCTGGATAGTCTTTCAAGAACTATGTTGAATACAAGTGGTGAGAGAGGGCAACCCTGTCTTGTTCCAGATTTTAGAGGGAATGCCTTCAGTTTTTCTCCATTTAGATTGATGCTGGCTTGAGGCTTAGCGTATATAGCTTTTACCATGTTGAGGTAATTTCCTGTTATCCCTAGTTTTTCTAGTGTTTTGAACATAAAGGGATGCTGTATTTGGTCAAATGCTTTTTCTGTATCTATCAATATGATCATATGGTTCTTATCTTTATGTCTGTTGATGTGGTGAATTATATTTATTGATTTCCATATATTGAACCAGCCTTGCATCCTGGGGATGAATCCCACTTGGTCATGGTGCACAATCTTTTTGATATGTTTTTGTATCCGATTTGCCAGAATTTTATTGAGGATTTTTGCATCTATATTCATTAGGGATGTTGGCCTGAAGTTTTCTTTCTTTGAAGTGTGTTTATCTGGTTTTGGAATCAGAGTGATGTTGGCCTCATAGAATGAATTTGGAAGTTCTCCCCCTTTTTCTATTTCCTGAAATAGATTGAAGAGTATTGGTATTAGTTCTTCTTTAAAGTTCTTGTAAAACTCTGCTGTATATCCATCCGGTCCTGGGCTTTGCTTGGTTGGTAATCTTTTTTTTTTTTTTTTTTGATTGTTTTCATTTTTATTTGATGTTTCCAAATATAAAAAAGTCAAGATTCTTATACCAATTATCTCAAATAAGACCATGCAGAGCAATTCAGTGTTTACAGCAGTTACTTCCCCCTCCAGTTTTTGCTGCTCTTTATACAATAGTGTGATAGACAGGAAATTGGATAGCATGTGCTTGGATGGAAAAATGTCATCTTTACAAAACAACATGCAGGGCAGATTCTACTTTGTCTGCAAATCAAATTTACAGTAACTGCTTTTTCATGAGGAACAAGGAACCGAAAAATTAAGTGCCCAATTTTATTCAACTACCCCACAAATAAGCACAATTAACAGCCTCAACACCTTGCAAACTTTGGAGGGTTGAGATGGTAGACATTTTACTGGTTATCTTTAGTAGTGGATTCCACTATTTAACCTGGAAATGTTGGCTTTTCAAGTAAATTTCCTTGGGGCTTTCCTCTAATTTTGCTAGATCAGGTTCCACAAGAACAGTGAAGAAATTTTAAAAGTGAAACTGTAAGGTACTCTGTAGTATTATACACATTTTTGCTAGTTGCATAGGTGAATGACAGATGTTTTGCTAAATGGCACTGAAGAAAATCCTGACGGCACTACTTAGACCAAAATGTTTCTGACCAAAGAAAATTATACAACAATATTTATAGGCTAACTTTTAAGAGATGGTTGACATTAATACTGTACATTTTTTACATGTCAAATACATAGTCCAAGAGTTTATAAAATAAGTTCATGCATTATTACCTCTAAGAATATCATGTACAAGATAAACCCCCCAAGTACTCTTGACAGCATTTCAGGTGGAAGCAGTCTTATATACAAAAACAATCCAGTTTGTCTGCTGTGTTAAGTGTATAATTTAAACAAATTTCAGAGATTACTGAGAAAAAAAATCTTAAGTCCATTGGTGATTGACACAAATCTGTGGGATTTAAAATGTTTCCTTTTTTAAAAACACTCAGAATACATAACCTCTGTACAAAGAAAAATATAAAAATTCTGATGATCACATTTGATTATACTACATAATTTAGGATAAAATGTCACTGGTTAAGTTTTTCTACTTTACTCCTTCCGTTGACAGCATTAATTTGTGAACTATGTTTATATTTAGTTCAGCTGCCTTTAATGGCACAAGATCTCATTTTCAAAACGGCACCAATTTTCCTGAAATATAAGAGCTCTATTTTTAGCAGCAATTATATTTTTAAAGGTTAGCAGTTATATAGAGAGCAAATATTTTAACTATACCTTTTCTACTTTATACTCACCAGTTACAATATTTACAAAAGTGTTTTTTTTTCCTCTCCCCTTATTTCTGACCTTGTTGGGGGAAGTGCAGGAGTTTCAATCCAGGTACTTATTTGTTTTAGATGGGATGCCTGATTTTTAAAGTGAGTATAAAGGGTAAGATGAAATAATTTTTAGTTCAGGTGTGTTTAGTGCCCCAAAAGTTATGACAAATAGTAATTACTGACAACCTAAAAAAGATGAGGCATTTGAAGGTGCCTTAACAATCTTAAGCCCACAGCAGCTGAACAGCAAGGTGGCCTTTGTATTTCACTGTGGTGCAGCCATCACTGACTTGGCCCTGAAGGTGAGATTCTAATCCTGTGGTTTTTGGTAAATCTAAATTAAAACTGAAAATGTTTTAAGGGCAATTAACATTGAGGGAAATATGGTTCCAAGATATTCTATGTAAGAGATCAATGACAAAGGGAATTGGCAACTGAGCATGCTAAATAAATTCCGTGAATACTGTCTTCATGATAAGATGTATTTACTACATCATGCATTTTGCTAACAGTATTTCCGTAAAAATCACCAACTCACTATAGAGTAATATTTTGTGTTAAATTACTATTGAATTTTAGGGAAAATAGCCATTTCAGGTTGACAGTAACATAATAATACTAATTATGCAAATTTAGAGAAGAGTTGACAAATTTCCCAAATATCAAATTGAAGTCCTTTGCCCGAACAGTTAAGGACCATACAGAGACAGTCCAAATGTGCAATTTATGATTTTAAATTCTTATCCTATGAAACAAGTTCTGGAATGGATGGATTTCTTTAATACTACGAATATTTTCCATTAATTCCCACCACAGAAAGATTTGTTGACTATATTAATGCTGCAAATGAGAAAACAATTTAGGGGGAACATACCCACAAGTAATTTGATCTGATAAAAGACTGATGCCAAATGGACAGATCAAAACAAAAACCCTAAAAAAATGCTGTGGAAAAAAATGACAAAAATAACATGAGGGGGCACAGTTAAGGCATCTAAAAAAATTCCACATGGCTTTGGCTTATTAAAAATATTTTACACTTTTTTTTTTAAAAAGAAGATTTGAAAGCATCTGAAAAACATGCAAATTGTTTGAAATCCCTGCATGGCAAATTCAGACAGTTGCGAGCATCATTCAGATGTTTGCCAAGGAAAGTGAAGAAGCCTCTCCCCAAGAGATCACACATGGTCGGGGAGGCCCTCCCCAAACTCTCTATCTTACACTAGATGGCAACCCCGAGGTCTGTGCGGCAGTCACAAACAAGGCATTATTATCTGGAAGGGAAGGTACTGTGGAATTTCCATTGCTTGGGGAGCAACCCAGCTTTAGCTTTTCCAGATACTCTGCATGTACAGGTTTATGACACTGGAGAACTTTGATTGCATCTTCTACTTTGAACCACTCTCTCTTTCTTCCTATATTAACAGAATCTTCCCAGTCTTCTAATATTTCAGTGACTGTAAGAACATAAACATATGTTCTGTGCTTTCGGTCTTGGTTCTCAAATATACCCAGGAGTCTTCCTAGTTTTCCTTTGACTCCTGCCTCCTCATAAACTTCCCTCACGGCAGCACCGCCGGGCTCCTCCTCAGGCTCCATTCCTCCTCCTGGGACAATCCACTGGTCTGGGTACCGACTGCTACTCACCAACAGCACCTCGTCCTCCTGCTCGCTCCGGAAGCACAGGCACGCCGCCCGCTTCTTGAAGCCCTCGCGGTCATAGGTCCGCGTCTGGTTGGGCTTGAACTTCATCATAGAGGCGGGCTCTTGCTGCCGAGGCTGCTCCGGCCGCCGCCGAGGGGGCCCAGCCGCCGCCACCCCGCCGGGGAGTAGGGGCGAGGGCGAGTCGGTGGCTCGGCGCGCCGGTAGAAAGGCGGCGGCGCGGGGAGTGGCAGCGAGGCCGGTTAGTCCCGGGGCCGACGGCCGCTCCGACGCGGTGCAGGACGCGAGCGCGGGTCACTGGAGCCCGGGTGCCGGGATGGAAGCGCCGCCTCTGCCCCGGCGTCCGCCTTTCTCCATGGAGCCCGCCGCCTCTCGCCTGCGCTCCTCCTGTCGCCGCCGTCAGGGGGAAGAGCGAGGCTCGAGGCTCGAGGCTCGCGCCACGCGGAGACAGTTGCGAGGACTCGCGCGGACAGAGCAGCAGCGCTGCGGCCGGTTGGTAATCTTTTGATGGAATCTTCTATTTCCTCACTTGATATTGGTCTGTTTAGGTTGTTTATATCCTCCTGACTTAATCTGGGTAGCTCATATGTCTTAAGGAATTTATCGATGCCTTCACTATCCTCTATTTTATTAGAGTATACGGTTTCAAAATAATTTCTAATTATCTTCTGTATTTCTGAAGTGTCTGTTGTGATGTTGCCTTTTTCATCCCATAAGCTAGTAATTTGGGTTCGCGCTCTTCTTCTCTTTGTTATCATGGCTAGTGGTCTATCAATCTTATTTATTTTTTCAAAGAACCAACTTTTAGTTTTGTCAATTTTTTTATTGTTTGTTTTGTTTCGATTTCATCTCTGATTTTAATTATTTCTTGCCTTATACTGCATTTGCTACTGATTTGTTCTTCTTTTTCTAGGCCTTTGAGATGTAGTGTGAGGTCATTTATTTGTTGGCTTTTCCTTCTTTTAAGGAATGAACTCCATGAAATGAATTTTCCTCTTAGTACTGCTTTCATAGTGTCCCAGAGATTTTGATATGTTGTGTCTGAGTTTTCATTTACCTCTAAGATTTTTTTAATTTCCTCTTTGATATCTTCTGTAACCCTTTGTTCATTCAGTAGCATATTGTTTATTCTCCATGTGATGTAGGATTTTTTCTTTCTTATTTTATCATTGATCTCCAATTTCATTCCATTATGACCAGATAAAATGCATGGTAGTGTCTCTACCCCTTTGTATTTGCTAAGATTTGCCCTATGACATAATGTATGCTCTATTTTTGAGAAGAATCCATGTGCTGCTGAGAAAAAAGTGTATCCGCTTGATGTTGGGTGGTATATTCTGTATATGTCAATTAAGTCTAAGTTATTAATTGTATAATTGACTCTATAATTTCTTTATTCAACTTTTGTTTGGAAGATCTGTCCAGTGGTGAGAGAGGTGTGTTAAAATCTCCATGATTATTGTGTTGTGGTCTGTTTAACTCTTGAACTTGAGAAGAGTTTGTTTGATGAACGTAGCTATAATATTGTTTGGGGCATATATATTAATGATCGTTAAGTCTTGTTGGTGTATGGCTCCCTTGAGCAGTATGTAGTGTCCTTATTTATCCCTTTTGATTAACTTTGGCTTGAAGTCGATTTTATTTGATATGAGTATGGGCACCCCTACTTGCTTCTGAGGTCCATATGACTGGTATGATTTTTCCCAACCTTTCACCTTCAGTCTGTGTATGTCTTTTCCTATTAGATGATTCTCCTGTAGGCAGCATATTGTTGGATCTTTTTTTTTAAATCCAGTCTACTAGCTTATGTCTTTTGATTGGTGTGTTTAAGCCATTAACATTTAGGGTTACTATTGAGATATGGTTTGTACATCCAGGCATATTTGTTTATTTATGTTACTTAACATGATTTGTTTTTCCTCTTTGATTAGTTTTTCCTTTACTGTACTACCTCCCACTGTTGGTTTTCATTGTTATTTTTCATTTCCTCTTCCTGTAATGTTTTGACAAGGATGTTTTGAAGACCTGGTTTTCTAGCTGCAAATTCTTTTAACTTTTGTTTATTGTGGAAGATTTTTATTTCATCTTCAATCCTGAAGCTTAATTTCACTGGATACACGATTCTTGGTTGGAACCCATTTTCTTTCAGCGTTTGAAATATGTTGTTCCAGGATCTTCTAGCTTTCAGAGTCTGTGTTGAAAGATCAGCAGTTATCCTGATTGGTTTACCCCTAAATGTAATCTGCTTCCTCTCTCTTGTGGCTTTTAGGATTCTCTCCTTATTCTGCATGTTGGGCATCTTCTTTATACTGTGTCTTGGTGTGGATCTCTTATGATTTTGTACATTCAGCATCCTGTAGGCTTCTAGGATTTGGATTTCTGTTTCATTCTTCAAGTCTGGTAAGTTTTCTAGTATTATTTCATTGAAAAGATTGCTCATTCCTTTGGTTTGGACCTCTATACCCTCTTATATCCCAATGTCTCTTTATGTTATCCCATATTTTTTGGATGTTCTGATCATGGTTTCTTAACATTCTTGTTGAGCCATCTATGTTCTTTTCAAGTTGAAATACTTTGTCTTCATTGTTCTATCTTCTAAGTGTTCTACTCTGCTGGTAATACTCTCATTTGAGTTTTTAATTTGATTTATTGTTTCCTTCATACCCAGGATTTCTGTTTGCTTTTTTTATAACCTCTATCTCCCTTTAGAGTTGATCTTTTGCTTCTTGGATTTGTTTATGTAATTCATTGTCAAAGTGATCTTTCATTGTCTGATTTTGCTGTCTAATGTCTTCCTTGAGACTCCAGATCATCTGAACTCTTTATCTGACATTCTATCTGATGCAGATATTACCTCTTCTAATGTTGAATTGACCTGCATTGTTTGTGGTCCTTTCTTTCCTTGTCTTTTCATACTGCTCATGTTTCTTTCCACCTTTGTGAAACTGTTGTGTTAATGATTTTCCCCTTATATATTTATATTGCTCTTTTATAGCTCCCAAATCCCTCTTTTGTGGAGAAAGACAATGTTAACAGTTCCCAATATCAATAGTACATCATCTAAGCACACGTTTTCATTACTAATACATTTATAGTTAGACTCTAAGTCTACAGATATTGGTTTCAATTATTATTTAAAAACAGAGTCATTAGTTTCATAAAAGGCATACCATTTCTGGTGGCATATAGAAAACTGAATTTCAGATGAAGGATGTTGTGCTTAGGGGGAAAGGAGTGAGGGTATGAGGTTAATCTATCTTAGCAACTTTGGAGAACTCTAACCAATAGACTGATAATTAATGGAAGAATGCATAGATTCAACCTCCTATCTGTGTTTAGAAAGTTACCCTATGTATAGTTAGTAAAAGTTAGGGGGTTGAAAGTGGGATAGAGGGAGTAAGAATGAATAAAAAATAACAAGGAAGAAACGAGAAAAAAGAGAGAGGGAAAAAAGAAAATAAGGAAGAAAAAAAGGGGGAGGTTTGGCATATGCAATTCTTCTATATTATATTATATTGGTGATTCAGTTGTTAAAGTCCTATTTCATGCATAGTTCTTGGTTTCACATATGTTGAGGTTGTGAAAGAGAGAGAAGAAAAGAGAGGAAAAAAAGGATAGCAAAAAAAAAAAAAAGGGGGAAAAAAAGTCTCTTAGAACTCTGTTTTCCTTTCTTCCAGTAGGTGGAGTTGTCTACTCCTAGCTTGAGCCTCTGTGTTCAGGGTGGTGGTATAGCCAGAGTGAAAGGACATGAGCTTCCACCTGTATCCTCCCTACTCTGGTCTCTGAGGTGGAAACCAGGTTCCTGTACAGTTTTTGTTTTGTGTTGATAGCTACACCCTCCAAAAGCTTGTGGGAAAAATTTTGAGTTATCGCAGTTAAGGGTGGGGGAGTTGGAAACCGGGTACCTGGATCAGCCACAGAACTGTGCTGGTAGCCACGCCCTGGTATATGTGTTTTAAGGGTTGATGGGCTTCCTTCAGTCTGGTGGGTGGGGGGCCGGGCTGGGCTTCCTCCTCCAGTCTCGACTGCTCACTTTCTAAAATTCTGCAGCTTTCTGGTCCCCACTGAACTATCTCAATGTAGCTTCTTTCTAAGCAGGCTCTGGAGTTGTGCTTATCTTGTAATTTTCTGCTTCACCTGCAACCTATTTGTATTCTTAATGATTACTATTTTAACTGAAGTAAGATGAAATTACAGTGTGGTTTTGATTTGAATTTCCATTTTTTTTTTTGCTAGAAATGTTGAAGAATTTTATATGTTTGTTGATTATTTGTACTTCTTATTTTGATAAATGCCTGTTTATTTCATTTGCCCATTTATTGGTTGTGTTATTTGGGGTTTGGGGAGGTTTTCTTTTCTTTTTTTGGAGGGGAGTGTTTTTTAGAAAAATTCTTTAGGTGTTATGTTTATCAATTCAGACAAGTAGCTGATTTCTCCCATTTTGTAGGCTCTCTCTTTATTCTATTAATTGTTTTGTTCTGCAGAGTTGTTTTTTATTTTTAATTTGACACCAACTTATTTATTAATTCTTGGTATTATTTGCTGAGTTTTAGGAGTCCTACTGAGAAATTTGTTTCCTGTGCCTCTATGTTGGAGTGTTCCCCCTATGTTTTCTTATAGTAGTTGAAATTTATGATCTATTTCCTAGGTTTTTAGTTCATTTTCAGTTGATTTTTATGTAGAGTGCAAGCTAGAGATCTATTTTTCCATACCTATAAATACTAAATTGTAAGTATAAATGTAGTGTTATATCTTTATTGGAGGAGTATGGAACTTATTGAGAAAAGTAATTTCAAACCCATAAAATATTTAAATATTGTTATATATAATATTTTTATATATAATATTTTAAATATTATATAGTGATGTAAATAAAACTCTATTGGTTATTGCAAATGTCTTAACCATCTAGAATTTAAGAAAGAATTTCTCAAGTAATAGATGACTGAGTTTGAAATGTGAATCCTGAATTTTAGGGATAAAAATGACTAAGTCAGATAAGGAAGTGCTGTAGGGAATAATAAGAGCAAAGCACAGAGGAATAAATTATTTTCTGAGCTTTAGAGTTCTACCAAGAAAGTTGTTTCCTGTGCCTTTATCTTGGAGCGCTGCTCCAAGGTTTTCTTATAGTCGTTGAAATTTATGTCATAATTTCTACATCTTTAATGATTCACTATGAGAAAGGAGATGGTCTCACACTAGAAAAGTAATGAAGGGTAGGATTCTGTTGTCTCATTTGATTAATAAAACTTTCAGAAGCCAGGTAGCATGTCTGAAAACAAGAGTTAAAATTGGCTGATTGAATTGATCTTCAAATACCTTGAATAACCATCAGTCTGTAATGAGGGTAGTATTCGTTACCTCATTTTAACCTAATTTGCCAGTGTTTTAATCCAGTGTCAGTTGGTCTATTGTTTCTGGGCTTGTGCTGAGAGTACATCTTGGCAGAGAGTACATGGTGGAGCTAAACCTCTCATCTCACA